TTGAAAGATGTTCAATAATAGGCGATATTAAAAGCTTTTGTAAGGCTTTTTCATATTGTATGTATCGTATCGTGAGCAGATTGCATTGTCAGACCTCTAACATTTACAGATCGAAATGTTCTTGTGAATCAAGTTTACAGATCAATACAGGTTGAGTAATAAGTACACAATAATAACCCCAGTCGCTCCATGTTTTAATGATCTGTTGTCTACGAGCAGACCTTTGGGAGCAAGAACCTCAAGCGTGTAGGGGAGATTCTGCAGAGAAGCATCCTCATCCTCTCTCTCTTCTGTCTGCCGTGCTGGGCTATTCTCATCAATGCAGAGTCCATCCTTCTCTCCATGAAGCAAGCGCCAGAAGTGGCCAGGTCAGACTGATCTGAGCCTTTTCATTACATGAGAACTTTCAGCAGAGTTTCATGTCGAGAAGTAAATGAGACTTTTGTGCCAGAGGGACAGAATGTTCCATTTCTATTCTTCAATAAAAAGAGATTTTCTAGAGGTGATCTAGAGGTGTATAAAGAAACTCTGAGCTACCTGCACGGGGGATTCAACACGTTTAAGCCAGAGATTTATAGAAATTTAAATTTATTCACGAATATAGTACTTAAATTATGGTTCTCACAATAGGAATTGTTAATGGAAAAAAAATAATTGATAGATAACGTAAAAAAAAAACATTAACTTTAAAGAACAATTGTTACGGATTTTTGAAAAGCTGCTTTCATGCAGTGTGTAACATAGCTCTGAGTTTGAGAAACGTTCAGTTTTGCATTTGCCAGTCACCTGTTTTGAATGGCGCAATCCAGTAATTCAAATAAAATGTGTAGGTTTCAAAAAGATGATTAGTTTTGAAATTTTGTATTTTAAACGAACATTACAAAAGTTATGACACGTAATTTGCAACATAATTGAGATTAAAATGTGGGAAAAGGCGCGATCGTCTTTCAGTTTCATTTTACAGATGCTAAATCAGTGGCGTCTAGTGGTGAAAAGAAGGAATAACCCTTGGAACTACAAGATCTGGTATATGGCTTGTATTTTTCAAAGATCTGGCTTTTTTCAAAGCCCAAAAAGTGGAACAAAAAGGTTTAAAAGAGGTTTTGATAACATTTTACGTAGCATAAAACATAAAGCAGCACAGTAATTGTTTTAATTGGATTGCATCAGCTGTATTGTCCATTTTAAGGATTTTATTGTTATTTCCTTTACAGATTATAACTGTAAAAAAATAACAATTATTTTGCTTTAAAAACAGTTTATACCTGTCAAATGTAAAGGTCTATATATATACAATATATTTATATATATACATATATTGTATAATCATTATATTTATGGTTCATAACATTTAGGTGTATATTGGTGTACGTTTCATTGTTCATCTTTTTTTTCGGTTATGAACCATCTAGTTTTTAGATTTATGTTGTAATAACTACAGTTTATTACCATATTTTTTTCACAGCTCTAAGCAGTGTAAAAATGAATATGTTTGTTGAAATAATAGGACTAAAACCTAGTGTTTAACAAAACACTATTCTCCAACATTGTTGGAACTATACATTTTCAATATGAAGAGATTTCGTAAATAAAAACGTAAAATTGGTGTGTTTTCTGTATTAGATTATACATATATCGTTACGTTTACAATAAACTGTATTTTTATATGTTAAATCTAAGGTCATGCCCTCTGAAACTAAATTCTACGGTGATCGCATGTTTTGTAGAATACAGTATTTTACCGTATATATTGTGCAATATGTTTCAAAACAAGAGCAGTCCCTTTTGTTTTCTTAAGATTATGTGCAATATTATGTTTTTGTTTTGTTTTTTTACACACTAAATTTCTATTTTTATTATTAATACTTGTTTTCAATTTAAATTGTTTCTGAAATTAAGGCCTATATGTTTGACTTCTCGATCCCATGGGTCCAGCTGTTTGATGTAGATGTTGGTGGTGGTGGTGTAATTGTCCTTTTGCTGCTGTACAAACAGAATTTCCCCATTGTGGGATTAATAAACTCCATCTTATCTTATTTGATCTTTCTCAGAGTTAATTTCTCGACAGGTCAATGTAAAAACTTTACATTACTGGTCTTCTTCCACCAGATTTTATAAAACCCAGATTTGTGGCTGATGTTTATCGTTTCACGGAAGTGGCAATTATCTTGTTTTCGAGTCAGACTGCTAAGACTCCATTGTTCTTGTTTCTGCAGGATTGCACAGCTGTATGTCATGGCTTTTCTCCCTGCTGTTCCTGTAAGTACAACACGTTTGCTTACAAAGATGTTCCGAGCTTTCATCTCTGCGTTGGTCTTGTTTCCTAGAGAGAAAGTTCAAATGTGATTTCTCCAAGCTGTGCCGTTCCCTCTTCAGGACGCTGTTTTGTTCAATATGAGCAGAATCATTTACAGCAACATGTCTTTCATTTTTATAACAATCTTTCCTTTTACTCTCTCCTTCAACTTTCCAGGCCATGTTTCTGCACTACTTGCAGGTTTCTTATCTGCAAAACCAGGTAAGACCTCTCGAGAAGCTCAAGGCATTTCAATGAAGCAGAGGAAGTATACAAACAGATCTCAAAATGCTGTTTCAGGGTATCATCCTGCCGCAGATGTTCACAGCCGCCGCTGCCAATGTGTTAAATTTAGCCACAAACTACATTCTCCTTCACTCGTTGAAGCTGGGAGTGATGTGTGTATGTTTTACATTGTATCCTACATTATATAGATTAGCATTTTCTATAACACGCATGTGTCTCTCTATAGAGGCTCGGCCATGGCCAACAGTCTCTCGCAGATCTCCATCTGCCTCCTGCTGTTTATCTACATACGAGTGAAGAAGCTGCATGTGAAGACATGGGATGGTGAGGTTTATGCAAAGCAGCACACCCTTTGATTCAAAAGGAGCGTTCAGTCATTAAAATTTAAAGAAACTAGTGATTATATAGTGGCACATTGATTGATGAGATCACTGAACTAGAACTGAAGTGTAGGCTCCTGTCAATAAGAGGATTCTAGTCATTTCTGCAACTTCTTTAAGTTGTCGATGTGTTAACTTAATATTAACAAGAGACAATCTTTATTAAGAAGCTGTATTATAACAAGAAGAAAGTGTTTTTCATCGTGACGTCAACACCTGTTATACATTACACTTTAGCATTTAAGAGTTTGGGAAATGTTCTGGAACAAGTGCCCCCCCTTCCTTTAAAATATTCTAGTTGATATTCCTTCTTTATAATGTTATCATGTTCACTTTCAAGTGACAAACTCAAATACTAGTGATTTTCAACTAGGTAAATGGTCTTTTTTTGTACAAAATCATTTACAAATGTAACTTTAGTATGTTACAGACATTGCGTAAATATTCCAAAGATTTAGATTCTAATGCACCGTACGACTGGGACTCCTGGAGATACAAATTAAGCATCTTAAAAAATGCAATGTTACAAGGTGTTTAACATCTTTTGTTATTGGCACGATAAAACACCAAAGCTTTAAACAATATTCAATGTAAAATTTATTTAAATACATATACCTATATTAATATTAATTAAGTCGATTTAAGCAGTGGTCATTTTAACATTGTCAAATTTTAAAATGACAACATCGTCAGAGTGAATCAATGGAACTGACCCAGAACTGAAGTGTGTGCTCTTCTTAGATGCTTCGAGTCATTTCTGCAACTTCCTTACGTTGTCAATGTGATTATTTACTCGTTACCAAGAAACAATTACACATTACTTCTGTCTTTATTTAGAAACAACAGGAATGCCTTCATTAATGTTACACTCTGAGTGTGCAAACTCTGGTGCTGCCACCTAGAGGGTGGGTGATAGTAGCTGTTCTAATACAACCTGCCTGAACCCTTTTCTTAGCTTAGCAGGTTTATTGCAGTTTAAACGTTGAGTTGGATTTGTATGGTAGTAAAATAATTTAGTAAATTATGTATATCAATATCTCCAGGGTGTACCCTCACCTCTCACCCAATGTGCGCAGGGACCAGTAGACCCCCGTGACTCCGAAAGGGAATAAGCGGGTTAGAAGATGAATGAATAAATGAATCTATAATATTATTTTTTAAATATTTTTAATATCAAAAATATTAAAATATTATCTAAATTATATTTAAATTATGGTCTGTTTGGATAATATATTTAACGCCCATTGATCCCATTAACCGACTGGTTCATCAATTTTATAATGTATAACCAAAAAATGTGTCTTTTTTTGGAAAGAAAAATAAATAAGTAAATGAATATCGACTTGGCCACAAGTGTTTGGTCCTTCTGTGGAATTGATTTAGCTAGAGGAAGCCAAAATGAAGAGGCATTTCCCTGAAAAATCAACGCTTTTATGAATTCTGGCACTTCTAGGATATAAAAAACTTTGTTTGATAAAAAATTACTTTGTAGCTATTTAAAAACAGGTATTTATTAAAGTATTCCGAAACTAAAAACTGGAAAATTCTGAAAATCTTTTATTTTTGTTCGTCTTGACTTTTGTTGTTTTCATTTAACATAAAATACACACTTATCACGAAGGCTCTATGATAAATAAGGAAAAAATAATTGATTAGTGTTCGAATGTAAGCGAATATGACTGAGATTTCCTTTGCATGTGTCTCTGTGGCCCTCTGCAGGCTGGTCGACATCAGCGTTGCAGGAATGGGGCTCCTACATGAAGCTGGCTATTCCCAGCACTCTAATGGTCTGCTTCGAGTGGTGGATCTATGAGATTGGAGGATTCCTGGCAGGTCTGTATGTCTGCGTCATAGAAATGACTCATCAGAAATGGTACTATAATGGTACTAATATGAATTTTTAATGGTAAAAGGCTGGACAAAATTAAACATAAATATAATTATATAGAATACTGAGCAAAGCTTTTGATTTCATGCTGTAAATATAGAATGCTTTCGAGATAGGAATGCTTTTTTCCTCCATGAACAAAATGCCTATGAGTGACATTACAACATCTCTATGGTATAATCGGCCATGGTCCATGATTGTATAGTTGTTAGTACTCTGCTTTATGGCCACAGCAAGCCTGGATCGAATCCGGGTCACGGCACCAGTTAACAGTGTAAAGACAGCTACACACGCACCAGATTATGTTCAAGTTCATTTACTCTACGCAAATTTCCCTAAAAGATTTGATACTGCTTTGAAGGCTAAAGCTAGGAACGTTAAGTTCTCAATGTAGTGAAGGGTTCCTTACCTCTCTGATGTTTTGAAGGGATGCTGGGGGAGGTGGATCTTGCAGCTCAGCACGTGTTGCTGGAGATTGGCTCCATTGCTTACATGGTAAGGCTGTTATTTACGTTTAAACTCACGTCTTCTGCAGTCCCTGTAGAATAACAACACATCGAAAGCAGCTTGTGCATTACAAATGTTAGAAGCTCTGGATTTCTCAACATCTTTGAAAAAATTTGTGTCGTACTTTTTTTTTAAGTTTCCCCTGGGTGTGCATGCAGCTGCGTGTGTGCGTGTGGGAAATGCACTGGGTGCTGGGGACACCAATAGAGCTCTGATCACCAGTAAAGTCGCTCTCATGATCTCAGGTCAGTATCAGATGGTAACACAAACATGTTGCTGCGTTAGTTTCAGCTCCCTCCAAAGAGTTCTATCGGATTTAGGTTTGGGGACGGCTAGGCCAGTTCAGAACCTGGATAAGCTTGGTTTTCCTGGACGTGTGCTTTGGGTCATTGTCATGTTGAAAGACCCAGCCATGACCCACTGTCTGACTGAGGGAAGCTTTTGCCTATGTATATATCAGGTGGCAAACCCTAATAACTCCTCCCGAAATACATTTATTCAATACTCCACTTAATACAGTGATTCCCCACAGGGAGAAATATTCTGTGTTGCCCCAGTCTGAGGGACATTGGCAGTCACCATTAGCCTCTTCCATGTTCTCACATTTGCTCTAACAGATGTTATTTTTTCACCAACCTGGTTGGCAGTTGCCCTTTAACGGTTTTGTAAATGTTTGTTTTAAGTCTTCTAACAGCTTTTTGGTTTTGCCCATGTTGCTAACAGCTAATAATCTCAGTCGGTTTCTACTGGAATCATGAGCAGAGTGTAGCTGGATTATTTATGACAGGTCAGAAATCTGTAATATAAGCATTTGAACGCTTGCTTTTCCGACACAGTAATAAAGATTTATTTAGTTTTAAGATCATCAAATGGGATTTTTGGATTTTCTTTCTAGATTCTGTCTCTCACAGATGCACCTATGCTAAATATTCTAGACCCCTCCATAATTTCTAAGTAGGAGAGCTTGCAAATTCACAGATTGTTAATACTTTGTTAAATACATTTTAAATAATATTAAACTTCTCCCCATCTATAAAACGTTTGTAAATTAATTAATTTGTTGTTCACATGGCAATCTGTGTTAATTTATCAGAATTTACCAGCCCCTGAGTTTAACTGACAAAAAAATAATAATAATAATAATTTATTTTCATACAAAAGAACAATAATGTAATTTAAAAGAAGTATATTTGCGATATGCTCATAAAATAGTACCTATTTTAAATGTAGATCTTGCGCTTATATATAATTTATCTTGATTTATTCATTTTTGCTGCTTTTCAGGGTTTTTAGCAGTTTTTCAAGGAATTGTGATGGCGTTGACGAGGTCCGAATTGGGGAAAATCTTCACGAGTGACGCGTAAGTATTTTTCCCACACATAACATCAACATTGTAACTACCAACTACCTTTGTAAGATGCATAAAGGAATCGGATCAAATGAATTCTCTGCTATTTAGAGTGAAGCTTTTCCTTTATTGTTTTGCAGTTCTCACTTCTTGATTTAATCTAACAGGAGCATAGTGGCAATCGTCGCCAAAAATCTACAACTGTTCATTTTTCTGCAGTTTTTTGATGCTGCGGTGGTAAGTTTGCATCTTTTTCCTCCAAGAAAGAAATCTTAGGTCAAATTAAATTTGATAAACTTTGTGGCTCACTTACGTAATGCCTTTCATCCTTGCGACCTCTATGATTAAAGCACATTCATAGAGCGTATCAGCTCACACTAGAGATTATTGTAGAGGCTGTAATGATGAAACCTACCGCTGTGGTGAGACCTGGTTCTGTGAATCGATGTAATTAGAGTGATATCTCTGTTGTGTTTCAGTGTGTTTGTTCAGGCATTCTTCTGGGCGCTGGTAAACAGAAGATTGCAGCTTTGTCTAATTTAATCTGCTACTACTGCATTGGTTTACCAGTGGGAATATCTCTCATGTTTCTGGCTGAGCTTAGGATACTGGGTACGCTCCATTGCTACACTTCTGATTTGTTTGTGCGTTTACGACTTTCATGTGTATTACGCTAAGATAAGACATTAATGAGACACATATAACAACTTTGATATCTGATACTCTAGTCAGGATATAATACAATCTGGAAAAGCAACACATTTTATATTTAACTGCCACAATGCCCCACTCGCCCAAGTATTGGTTTAGGGTTCTTTGGAACTCTACATTACAAAACAACTGCCCATCTTCTTTTATTTATTTATTTTTCAATGCCAAATTCACTAGTTCACCATTAATTAGCATGGTGACACCTGGCATATTTGACGAGCATAGCGTTAGGGGGCAAGTCGTCCAAGAAAGGGCTCTGGAGCCAGGAAACAATCTGAGCCCAGAGACCCTAGAGTAGCAAAGGGGCAGTTCTAGACTATTTGGTGCCCTGGGTGAACATTCTCTATGGCGAATTTAGAAAAACACTTCAGAGGAAATCTATGCACGGTCTGTGGCGGTCCACCAGGCGCATCCCCCACTTTTGGGTGCGATCAATCATGACTCTCACAGCTGCCACTCCCTTTCCTGCTGCCCACTAAGAAGAGACAGACAGTTCCCTGTGATTCTTAATCCCAAAATGGGAGTTATAAACTTGATTGGTGCCTATGGAATCCCAAAATGCGCTAACATTATTGGGACAGGTTAGAATGGGCTCAAAAAAAAAATAAATCCAATGCGTGATGATCCCGCCCATAGCTATGTCTGTCCCTGGTTGGAGGTGTGAGGCTGTTTTGAAACAGTCAACCAACAGAAGGGTACTGGAGCTATAAATAGCCAGTGGGAACCACTTAGAGATTGAGTGTCAGGGCAACTAACTCGGGTCCTGGCACTTCCTGAATTACATTATCAAAACGGCAAAAGGGGCATTGGGTTCTGTTTGCAAAACCAATGTAATGTAAGGGCCTCTACACACCGAACCAAATTGAGATTTTCACAGGAAAACAGAAGACAATGACACAGAAGATGTCAAAGAAAGTTGCCAAGAAAATGTTGGATGAGCGCCACCTAGCAACCCTTTTACGTCCTTGTAACATCATCAAAAGAGCCAGCTTTCATTGGTTGTTCTCCTTGTGAAAAACAGATCCAATATGGCAGTACAGAACTCTTTTGCCCATAGTCAACGTAAGCAGATCAACAAGGATATTATTTTTCTTTTGTTCTTGATTCTAACTTTAGCATCTGACAAAAATAAAGCAGCAGAGAAATCAATATTTCAGTTTGTGTATGAAGAAGTTCATTAAACCTTTCAAAAACACAATCTTACCTTGCGATGTGATTGGCTGAGTTGATCAGTGCTATTGGTATCTAAATGGTTTAAGCTTCCCTCTTTTGAGCCCAACGTTTTTGCAACGTGTGAGCATTTTTAATTACTACAATTAGTCTTGATATTAATGACAATGCTAAAAAACATTAGGTTGTATAGCTAAAAATAAGACGTGCTAACCCGTCACTGTAACTCATAAAATGACGTCTGGCTTCTATGAAACATAGATATGGGTGTGCTGAGGTGAGGGTGCAGCTTTACGCAAATCTTACAATGTAATAATAAATATAATTACAAATAAATAAATACCTATGTGCCTTCTGTGTTCCATGTCTCTTGAGTTGTTTATTGTTAAAGGAACAGGGATTTTCTAGCACACATGCGACTAGCAAAACGTAGGTTTTGAGACAAGAGCTGATGAGATAAAACGCAAGTCACTTTGGATAAAATACATTAAATGTAAACAGGGCACTGGTTAATTGCCATCAAAAATTGTTTATATTATCGACAGCTGAAGAAATATTGACATTGTAAAAATACTAAATATACATTTCGATTTTGTCATGGGGACAAAACAACCCAAAAAGCTAGATTTACCATCTTTTAAAATACAGCCCGAGTTACTTCCTCTATTTTCCCATTAGGCATCAGTTTTTCTTTTGCTCTAACAAGTCCATTGACTCTTCTCAGGACTGTGGCTTGGTCTCTTGATCTGTGTCATCATTCAAGCCTGTTTCTTCACCACCCTTATCTTCAAACTCAACTGGAAGAAGGCGACAGAGCAGGTAGGATACGACAAGGAAAGATCACTAAATATTTTGCTAATATTTGACTTTAAAGGGCCGCTATGGTGTATATCGATATATAAACAAAGTGATACTTTATTTAGAACAAATGTATTGTCTGTTACTTTTAATTGTGGGTAAAACTGTTTAATTTCTATCTTTTGTTTCTTGTTTTAAAAGAAAATTCTCAGGAAGTGATGAGTTATAGACGTCTTAAAGGCCAAAGACACATCTGTATTTTAATTATTCATGAGTCTGACCTCTATTATCCAATGAGAAGACGCGGCATGTTAATTATCAATGACACCTAACTCTTAACTTGTCTGTTCAAGTTTCAAGATGGTGGTGTAGTCGGGGGTATACTCACTTATACTCCATATACTGACTTTTTTTCCCTGGGCTATTAGGACGTCTGATGATCAATAATTGCGTAAACCCTCGGTATACTTAGACTTCCCCAATTTACGTGTATTCACGTCCCCTTTGACTAACAATTCCACCATTTCTCTGACTTTATGACTTTATTAGGTGTCCGCATCGCGTCTCCTTTAACTTTCTTGGCAAGACATCATCGCACTTTAATATTCACAGCAAATATAACATTAGATGTAAAATCTGTTTGGAAGATACTGTGATTGAACAATAACGTGAAAAGTCATGGTTTTTGTGAGCGATTCCATTTTTTCAGGGTTTATTTTATATAACGG